ACAGTTCTGCAACTTCTCAACCGTACAGATACATATTTGCATATTTGTATTGCGAGGTTGGACCTGATTATTCTGAAATTTACCCGGCGAAAACTGACAATAATACATACCATGGAGTAATCTGAGGGGAGATTTACTTAATTAATTGATTTATACTTCCTGACAGAAACAAATATGTGACTGATTACTCTTTTGGGCAATCAAAATTACTTTAATCAGAAAGTTAAGCATTTTCCTGCTGATGTTCATACATGTTTATTCGTCTACTTACAAGCGGTACTAATTTGATATAAATCACCTTGTAAAGTACGGTTATCTGTATAAATATGACATTGTATAGCACGTATATCCCTATCATATCTTTATTCCCTGCGGTCTGGAGACCGCAGGGTATTGGTACGCGTTTAACTTTTGAGGCATGGAGGAGCACGTGACCTGTTTTCGGTACATGGAGGAGCATGTGATCTGTAAACCGTACACGATTGGTTAATTGGCCTTTTCGAAAACCTGGCTAAATACCGTTTGTCGGTACGTTACGGAATTACCTCTAGGGAATTAGTCAGAATTACACCTAATTAAGAACCAAAAACTATTACGTGATATTTCTAATTTTCTATAATTATTTGACCGTTTAAGGTGGAAAAACCTGAATGATGTATTTTAAAATTATCATTGTTTCTTTAATATATGTATCTCAAATTTTACAAACAATAAATTGTTTATACTGAAAATCTACAAAATTAAAATATTCTTAGTGGCATCTGCCATAATAAATAGAGATATTTTCTGCGTAAACTTGTGTGTTTACTTTATTTATTTTTTTTGCCTGGAATTATTCATAAAATGGTAGGTAATTGTTTTATGTTCGACCTTCTCCGGTCATCAACGATCACCAGTTTCCAAAGACCTTCTTCTATATTGATCGATTATTGTCAACTATATTCCTGATACAAACGTTTATTTATTCCCCTCTCCCAAAACAATGTTGAAAATAGTTAAATGAAATATCTTTATATCATTAAAAATGTTCCCCGCCCGCAGGAAACCATTTTACTTGTATATTATATGTTAACAGTCCTTCATTGATACCAAACTATGTCAGTAAATACAACGAGTCAGTAATATGTAATTGTATTTGTAACATTGTTCAATCTAACTGTAATTTAGTTACTATGGTGACCGGGATTTCATGTCATGTTTTGTTAATCATTTAATAAATCAAAAGTTTCACCATTTTATTTCTTGTCATTCTAATTCTTTTTTATCTTAGAATTACCAAAAACAACGTTAATTTTCGGTTAATATCTTCAGTTCTAACTTAATACAATATCATTAATAAATTTTTCATCGTAAGTTTTTGATCACATTAACTGTAATGTAATTTGTGTTCATGGTAATTAATCAAAATTCGTTACTACTGTACCCTGGTGTAGGGCAATGCTACGTCTAATAAATCAAAATAGATACATCGTTTGATTCCTTATGATAGGTATTTTAACACTGTTTTGTGATTCTTTATTACTTCCTTTCTTTCTTTCTTTCTTTCTTTCTTTCTTTCTTTCTTTTTGAAAGAAAAGGCATAGGAAATACCTTGATAGTCTATCATTCTTTCCAGTGCGATTTATTGCAAGGATCTGAGTGTTTGTTTAATTATGACACACGACTTTATTGAAATAGTAGCTCTAGCAAATCATTAATTTCAATACATATTCTATTATGACAGTTAATTGATTGGAAATGTTATAACGAGGTATTGATCATAAATACAATATATTGTAAACAAAAAGATTCATTTTATAACATTAAGGTAACGGCGTCTGTTTAGCGTAACGGCGCTTTAATATGTTGTTTTCTCTTTTGAAATTTTCCTTAAGTTGCAGAGTACTGATAGTTGTCGGTCATCGTCCTGTCGTAATCCCAGTGCGATTTTTTCTCTTTTTTGCTGTCTCAGATTTCAGAGAATCAAGTCACGTGATTTATGAAGTGCGGCACAACTAGTGATTTGATCTGATGTGAACATTCTTAAAGATGATATTTAATACTGATTTAATTGTAACATAATAATTTGTACTGATTTAACTGTAACGTAATATTTTGAACTAGTAACATAATATTTAATACTTGTACTTAGTTGTTACATAACATTTAATACTGATTGCATTGTAACACATAATGCGGATTCAATTTGAAGATTACATTTATACTGATTTAATTGTAACATAATAATTTTTATCTGGATTAATTGTAACATGATATTGATACGGAGTTAATTGTAACATGATATTTTAAACTGATTTAAATGTAACATTATAAAACATGAGAAAACAATTATAATGCTTTAAAATTTCATTTCTCCAGCGTTAATCATTTATGAACATTATTGATTTACACTGTGTCTATAAATCACAAATATTCCTAGATATTCCGGCGAGAAAACTAATCTAAAATTGATAAATCTTTAGAGATTTAATTCACTTTGAAATTGAATATTTGAGCCGCATTATGGTTGATTGCTTGTCAATTTGTAAAGATACATTTTAATCATATTTAGAAACAGACATTTCTAGTAAAACACTTGCAATTTTGCTGTTTGGTGCGTCATATAAAGAATATTTTCCTTACCTCTTCTATTGTACATTTTAAGCAAAATTATTCAATTATAAAATGCAATATGTTATATTTAAAGTAATATTTCAAGGAAGTGTTTGATATCGCATTTAATCATAACATACTCATTACACTCGTGTATGAATTGCAAACCGATTTTTCTTAATTGATATGCAATATAATTCCAAAGCTAGAAAAAGTTTTATTAAGTAATACAAAATACATGTATATGTTTTTATTTGTCGGTTACGATAGAAAACAATAATGATGCCAAAGTACTAAATTTATCAGATTCACTTCATTTTACATGTAATGATATGGTGTTTAGGTATTACATAATTTTCAGTTAACTGGTGCCTACTTTGTCCCGTTTGGGCGGTGCACCAAGGGGTACCTTTTGATTGGTCCAGTTTGGCTGGATAATGTCGGAGCCTTGCTTTCTAAATATATTGTATTATCTTTTATATCTTGCTTCTTATTCGGCAGGTGATCAACATTAAATAATTGTATACATTAAAAACGTATTTTAGTTTAAAAACACAGAAAACTAGATTACTCTTTCACAATTACCACTTGTAATAGACACAGACAAATTGCCAAATAATTACTTTATAATCGATCCGATTTTATCGTATACTGTTCGATGACGTCATTGGTTAAACATGCGCGCTTAGCTTAGCTTGGAAGCAAGTATTTCAGAAATTATTTGAGCCGTGTCATGACAAAACCAACATAATGGGTTTGCGACCAGCATGGATCCAGACCAGCCTGCGCATCCGCGCAGTCTGATCAGGATCCATGTTGTTCGCTTACAAACCCTATAACAAGTAGAGAAACTGATAGCGAACAGCATGGATCCTGATCAGACTGCGCAGATGCTGGTCGCAAACCCATTATGTTGGTTTTGTCGTGACGCGGCTCATTTGCTGTTGATCCAGGGGATTGAATAAAAATTTGTATATATGTTTGATCCGAATATTGACTTCCTGTCACGATCTTCTAAGATAATTGTGACATAATTTCAAGATGTACTCACAAACACAGGACAGTGCATAACTGTTTAAATTTGACGTATTCGAAACAGATGAGTTTTTAACCAGGTTTTCCGAAGGTAAAAACTGGTTATTAGATTGAGGTATGTCGGCGGGCGGATGGGCGGACGGGCGGGCGGGCGTAATTATTTTCTTCTGTGCGCAACCCCTCCTACATTTCTCAACGGATTTTGACCAAACTTTCACAGAAGCTTTGTCATCCAGATCCCTGGTGCATATTGTCAGGCTTTTGTGATTGAATAATATTTGACCTAATTATGGCCCTTTGTTTTTTCCTTATATAGAATATATAGTGAACAATTTCTTTTGTGCGCAACTCCTTTACATTTCTCAAAGGATTTTGTTCAAACTTTCACAGATTAGCTTTGTCTGCAAGTGCCCTGATGCATATTGTCGGGGTTTTGTGATTGGATAAGTTTTAACCTTATTATGGCCCTTTGTTTTTTCCATAAAATTTAATTATAAGTGTAACATGTTCTTTTAATCACAACAAACTTTAGTTATAAAACAGAAACTATCTAGGTTGGTGCATCCCTGCCAGCTCATCTGCCTGTTTTTGGGTCTGTAGAGTCAAGGTCAAGGTCATTGTTGCTAAAGATAGAAAATCTGTTTTCAGTCAGATCACTGTTACTAAAAATAGAAAATAGGTTTCGGGTGAATAACTAGTTTGGAATAAGATATTTTTATGAAATTTGGTGTAAAGCAATTTTTATAAAGACCTCACTTGGGATGGCTTTTTGCCCCCCCTCCCCTAGGGTCAAGGTTACAGTTACTAAAAATAGAAAATTCATTATTCATTATTTACATTGCACATAGTTACATTGTTTGTTGCTTGTATTTGATTTGTATTTCGACTACAACTAATAAGGTAAAGGTCTTGTTTATTATAGTGTCACCCCTACTGAAAGGGCCAGCCATTTTGACTTATGAGACACCTTTTGGTTGCATACCATGTACCTCCCAATTGCTACCACTATGCCAGGCGCCAGGCGGATAGAAATCGGTAACCATTCATTTTAACTACCTCGCGGCTCACGAAGCGGCCATTTCGGAACGAGTCCCACGAGAAACATTCATCCTTCAATTAACGCTCCCCGTGGGGCTCGAACCTTCGACCTCCCGATCCGAAGGCGGACGCCTTAACCACTAGGCCAACGGTACCGGTTACTAATATCTACAATGATGATAATTGAAAACCTGATTTCGTGGCATTGCCATGTTTCTTGTTTGTATTTATATTAAAGAAATCCTATGCATGTATAAAATATTCCCAAGGTCTGATATATTAATACAGTTTTATTTCTAGATATATCAAATGTTTCTGTAATTCTCTATTTGCAGACGACATATGAACAGCTCAAGGAATGTAAGCAAGCAGAAGAAAGATTAAATAGTTTCTATGATCTCTCCAAACTTTTGATCATCGGCTTTGAATTGTTGAAAGGCAAGCAGAGTCTTCATTTCACAGCGCTGTGTACTATAAATAGAATTATCGATATATGCGTTGTTTACAAAAATTACGAGGTGAGTGCGTTGACAAAAAGTGCCGAACAAGTGTCTACCAGTGATTTGTATCGCGGTTCCAGTCCAAAACGGAAGGGAAGTCATAATACGTCTGAAGAAAATACGGCTCTTAATCGTCACTTCTCGCTTACTAAACGAGAACGGCGAATGAGTCACGATGCGCACTCTAAAGGCGACCTTCATGAACGCCACGCAGACGACAGGGAAGATTCTAAATCTAGCAATACATCTAATTGCACGCAAGTGCATAGAACCCCTCTTGAAATTCTCACATCATGTGACCCTAGTCAGATTCTCAGTATTTTACATAACAATATCACCATGCATAAGCGGATTATCGGAACCCGGCAAAAATGTACACCAAGTACAAGATGGCGTCAGTGCACGCACCATTGTTTACAAATATTCAGTGCCCGGATATTAACTGTGATGTGTCACGGGCCAAATGTTCAGCATAAACTGGTCAACGACGGTCATGCGAAAACGTTAGTTGAAGCGCTTGACCCCAATCATGACCCCGTAAGTAACATTTACCCTATGCATATTTATTATCATTATTAATTACTATATATGTATAGCCCTTTTCATTCGATAAAGACATATTAATACCAAAATTATCATATTTTCTTCTTAAAGATCTGTTGCCTTTTGACAATTATTAAAGTTTAAATCAGAGTAACATTTGGTAAAGAAAAAAAACAACCTGACATATTATTTTTTATTTTACAATCAACAATGATTTCTTCAATTGCTAAGCATTTAACGTGCTCTTAATCCATAATTAAAATCTTGCACATTAAGTTTGGGGTGTGGCATTCATTGTATTGAAATGTTGTATTCAGTGATGAGGCTAAATATATATGTTAATAAATGTGGAGGAGAGCTTTACATATTTAAAGGCACATCAGAAATGAATACATTATTACTTCTTTAAAAAGGGAACCATGCGTTGTATAATGCTTTACTGATACATTTAGAACATGGTAGGTGCTTATCACCTAAAGAAAGTAATGCTAAATGTGAAGTAATTTGTCATGAAAATCAAATGTTAACAAAGTTGGTGTCGTGTTTTACTTCCAAACCCGTGGTTTGGTATACGAGCAACTTTTTGGACACAAATATAAAACACTTTTTAGAGAGAAAAGCGCGCTTTGGGGGTTTAAAAAGCCATATTATTATACATGTGGATTGACAGTACAATATATAATAGCATTGAAAAGCAATTGTTACGACAATATAAAAAGATTTTATTTGCTTGCAAAAGTTAAATCAGTTGTAACGTTTTGACATGTTTTCATTAAAATTTTATCTGTCAAAAACTCACACATTACTATAAATATATCAAAAAATCTAATTTCCTGATTTGACATTGAACACATTAGTTGAAAACTTCAGAACAACCAATCTCTCATAATTCTGCTTTAGATTTAGACATTTCTAGTTTGTACATCAAGGCTGGCTTTCATGGATTGTGTCGTAACTGGTGATATAGGGCATGCCCTGGTGACGTAAAAAATCTTCCCTCGGAAGCATTAATCACAAAAATATTACATGAAAATTGCAGACTCGGTCTGCACATGAGGGATAGTGAAAAAGTGCAACAACCCTCACGCCCCTAGCACCGGCGTGAGCGGTACTCAATTTTCAAAACTAAAAAGTGCTGGAATCAATGATACCGAAGAACCAGAAAAAAATATAACAACACTGAAGCCTTTTTAGGGCGCTTAAAAATCAAAAAGGATCCACTTATTTTTTTTACTATTTACCGTACAAAAGTAATTTTTAAAGATATATCATGCTCAAATTTGATATTTGAAAAAGCCAAAATAGTGGATTACTTTTCATTCATTGAATCTACACAAATTGTGTATTTTAGATTAGAATATTGAGATATTATTGAGAGCAGCCGATTGCATGTGGTATCAAACTTGTCTTTGATTAACTCAAACAAAATGTCATATTCTTAAATATTAATCAGTCAAACGTTTACTTCAATCTTTATTCATTCTAGAGAGGAAAGGCAATATTTGGAAATGATTGATTATTGTATAAGTCGTCTCGGGAAAACTCATTTTCTATTCATTAAGTCCGAACAATTCCAAATATTGAACTTGTGCCAAAATTGCAGTTTATTGTGTTCAAAGATCGAAGAATACTAACAAATAACATGTTGTATAGTGAGTTGTTTTCTCCAATGTCATATATATCATTGAGTAAAATATATTTTGTATACTGTCTGGTCATGGTGTAGAAGGGAGAAAATATGGCTTGTTGCTCAGTCGGAAGAGTTCTGGTGGTACGTCACGTTGCCCAGTCTGTCACAGATACAGTTTGCCAGGTTCTAGTGACGGAAATATCACAATGACGGACGGTCTCTTTTTTATATACTCACAATTTGGGGTTGAAAATTTCTAGTTGCGGTCATGTTACATATTTTGCACACGCTGCAGCATTTGATAGATACAGTTGGATATTCATTGAGCAAATTTTTTCTTGTAATTTTTGTAGTTCAAATGTTGAGAAATAGCATGTTTCCTTTTGGTTATTTATTGTTATGACAGTTTTGGCTATTTTTGTAACCAAAGTACATCAGACCATTATATTTTCGAATTTTGTAACTCAAATCAAAAATATGATCAAAGGTCTTGATTCATTTATACAATGTACACTGTTTTGTTAATAAATATTAGCATATTGATATATTCAAAACAGAGAAATCCCACACAATTACAACTCAGAGAAAACAACAGTATGACTCACATGCTGATGTTGCTGTTAGTATCTGTATGTATGTAGATCATGATTACATCTGTGCTATAGTCATTCCCGCCAGACTTCATTATGTTCGTTACTTAATAGTGATATTTCCGTCTTCTCTTCTTTAAACAACTCCATTAGGTCAAAACCCTAAGGGCATAAAATTTGAAATCCTTAATGCGACACTCAAAACTGGAAAGTATATAAAAAAAGATAGATAAACTCAGAATTATAAAAAATAATCGTATCTGCTCAGAATTAAACACAATATACATATTTAATGCAAATCTTAGCCATGTTTGAGTTGAAAGAAGTCATTTTACGCAATATAAACGATTATTTGGGGGGAAACGGTTTGAGTGGATGAACTAAAATTTTGTATACAAGTTATTGGTATAGATCTACACCAAATGGACAAACAATCTCGGATGAATATACCTTTACAGTAACATAAGACAAATTCAAAAACATTAACATACCATTGAACTTTCTTCTCAGGTTTCTCAGAGTTTTAAATTCTTTCAGTTTGTAGTTAAGTAGTTTTGAGTACGAATAAAGTTATTAGAATAAGTGTATGTGTTGTAAGTGATGGCGGCTTCGATCTTTGCTAATGGATTTAATTGTGGAATTGGGATTGTGGGTAAACCTTAATATGGTTTAAAACAACAACTTATTTATTTTTGATACTTATCATTCTTAACAATAATATATCTCTTTCAAAAGTAAAACATTACGTTATATCAAAAATATAACAATAGCCTGAGACCATTGAGATACATTCAGCCATGAAAAAAATATTTCATTGTTATGAGAATAATTATTATCATTATTAGTATTATTATTTTTGTTATTACTGTTATTGTTATTAATGTTATTACTGTTATTTTTATTGTTTTACTATTCCAGCATTTGTTGTGCCTTCTACTACAAAGCCTATCTTCAATTGCCCTAAACCCCTCCTATCATCAAGTGTTAACCGACGCCGACATTGCCGATATGTTGATGCAGCTTCTTTTGCCGTCGGATGAGTGGTATTACACAAACCACAGCACCAAGTACGCAAAATACGTGAAATATCACGCCGCTCGCATTTTGGTATACCTCGGACAACTCCATAGGCTTGGTGGTCGTGTTGATCTCTTTGATACAAAAGGTATTCAATCAAAACTTTATTTATTGTCCAAATCTGTGTTATGTTTTCATTTCACTTTTTTGATCACGCTTTATATCATGGTTCAAAAATATTTTATTGTTCTTTGTATACAAAAGGTAATACTTTTTTATGTTTAAGATTTAATACTAAAAACATGAGAGTTGTTGCACTTCCCATTAACACTGTAGAGCAGAATCTGCAAATTTGATTTTTATGCTCTCGGAGAATCTCTATTGCGACAATAATTATCAAGGGCAAAATGGCTGGACAAGTTCTGGCATTATAAGCAACTGTTTATAATAGTATATAAGGGAATACATGTTTATACAATAACACGTCATATCCTTCCCTAAATGTTGGAACATTTGTTTTAATTTGCTCACTTTACAGAGTTGTTAATAACAGATGAGTACAATGTCAATATGATTGATATACTAGTATATTTTTATCTACATGCATGTACAATAAATAAATACACGTTAATGGTGGTCTATGATGGCATAATAGTTATGTTTTACCGCTATGAATTCAGATATGACAATCTCATATATTACTATATATAACATAGTATGGGGATCGTAGAAATATTGAAGATATAGAACAGTTTTCATAACGTATTTTAGCATAATTTTCATTTTGTTTTCTTGGTAAGAAATACTATATATATGTATTGATATAGGGAACTTTTTTGTTTCATTGTGACCTCCATTCACGTTCATTTGTTCACCCGCAGCACGAGATTTGCGGTATAATATATTCGACATTTTCTCCTGCATTCTGCGAAATCATCTCCATAAATAAGAGGCCTTTAAGGAAATGTGGATGCCAAAAGTTATCGCATTTAATGTTATTATATCACATTTTTTGTTCCTTGTGTAATTTATTTAGAGCCTCGGGTCTGTTTTAATCTAAGAGCAAAACGAGAAATTGCTGAATGTTTTATCAAGAAGCAGACGAGAGAAATGTCAGACGAGAAAGTGGAACAGCGTGCATAGAAAATCCAATTACTGGTCAATTTTATTGATCGAAACAAAAAGCAAATATTAGTTTTCTAACGTACCATATTTTAACATGGTGCTATCTACGCAGTAAGAATATAAGTATACCGCGGAGAACAACAACAACTACAATAAGAGCAGTGTTTGATGTTGAGTGTTGATCAATTAATTGTTTCCCAACAGATTAGCAGTAATTCCCGAACAAATTTGTCCGAAGTCTTTATTTCTCATTTCTTAGCAAATAGACTCACTAATTAAGTTTACACATGGCGTATTGTACTCATTTGTTGGATGAAAAATGCAATAAATTATACAGTTAGTGCTCTACAGTGTGATTAATAAATGTATTATAATGTATATAAATGAATTGTGATTAATCGTATAATGTGAACTATGCCTTTATATGTTTTATAATTTAAAAAAATGTTTATGAACCGAAATGATCACATTTACGGTTATCTATGGTGACTGATTTGGTACGCTTAGCGACAACACGACAAAGCGCCAAATGGCGCATTGTCGCGCTGTTGTCTTGTCATCCTGTCTCTAGCGCGGCACGCAAAACGGTACGTATTTGATCTGAGAAAATTGGGTGTTTAAGAATAATCTTTGCAAGGCATCTCAACTATTAGCATCAATTTTATTACGTGAAAATTAAATGTTTTAGTACATTGGAAAGGGTTATATTTCTTATTTGTTTTTATTTTATTTCCAGTTTTTCAAGATGCTGTGTCTAACAATCCAATACTTCAAGTGAATAGTCCAGAAGATAGTTTTATAGAGCTAATGGCACTAGGTCGTATAGTGATGTGGAATGATAAACAACATATAGAGGCTGCCTCACTTGAGGGTCTTATAACTCATGTGATTGAGGTAAGATAACATATAGAGGCTGCCTCACTTGAGGGTCTTATAACTCATGTGATTGAGGTAAGATAACATATAGAGGCTGCCTCACTTGAGGGTCTTATAACTCATGTGATTGAGGTAAGATAACATATAGAGGCTGCCTCACATGAGGGTCTTATAACTCATGTGATTGAGGTAAGATAACATATAGAGGCTGCCTCACTTGAGGGTCTTATAACTCATGTGATTGAGGTAAGATAACATATAGAGGCTGCCTCACATGAGGGTCTTATAACTCATGTGATTGAGGTAAGATCACAAATTATACACTTCATATAAAACTACTTCATATAAAACTACTTCATATAAAACTACTTCATATAAAACTACTTTATATAAAATACTTCATATAAAACTACTTCATATAAAACTACTTCATATAAAACTACTTCATATAAAACTTCTTCATATAAAACTACTTCATATAAATTTACTTCATTTCACATGTACACGAAATAAAGATTCTATATTAGAAAATATTGATAATTCCTACACAGTTTTATAAAATTAACATGTTTTTACTTCACACAAAGGAGATATGTTATGTTTAAAATTCTACACACTATAGGTAGGTAGTCACAATATCAATATATTGTGGACAGTTTTTTTGTTTGTTTTTTACAAAACACCATTTTTTACTTGACCTGTAATAGGGAATGCTACTTTTCATACATAGTTTACCCATTCTTTGATCCAAATCAGACATATTCAGTAAAAATTTCATTAATATTTTACTCAAAGATGAGCATAGTACATCTGCAATTTTGTAGGATTAGAACATATAAAAACACATATAATATAAAGCATCTTCATATATTACTACAGTACAAGAAATAAAACCTATTTTGAGATCTACTAGTGAGTTCAGGTTTATGATATACCGGTTACAAAACCTCTGATCACAATGTATAATAGGCTGTATACAATTACCCTATGTAGCGTTCAGTCATTCCTTTTTTGACTTGAAACGAACCCAAAGGTTTACAAAACAAGCATTAATATACGTCACAGCAAATACTATAAGCCTAATTTGGTATTCATAAACAAAGCCATTTATCTGGTAAATGAGACCACGATTTGTCTCTTCTGTTTTAATGATACAATAAAGAGATGTTCAAGTAATATGTCATTACCGGTCGTTACCTTATTAACTTCATTTATAATATTTTGTTTACTAACTTTGTAAAAAGTCTAACAATGTTTGAATTCGTATCAGGGTTTAATATCCTAATTTTGACATTTTACATCGAAAACATAGAAAATGAACATATGTCTTTTATTTCATCAATATTTCTCAATATATCATTTACAAGTATATGATAAAAATCATAAAATGAAATATTATTTAAACATTTATAAAGGTCGCCTTTTAAAAGTTATAACATAGAATGTCTCTGTTATTAAGGAACACATGTATGATACCAAAATATAACACTATTATTTCTAAGTATACATGCGTCATTCATTCTGATAGTGATACACAAAGTCATATAGAATCAAAACTTGTTCTTTATTGATTTATAACGTCACTGGAGAACGTGTCAAGAATTAAAACGTATACCAAATCATGTACAGTGCACACCCCACTGTCTGTTTCGTTTGATTGGCTCATTTTTTCTGGGGTTACAGGGAAAGAGATAACGATAGAAAAGTCATAGTCTGATGCATGTACATTAGTTACTTTTTTCTTGGCTTTTATATTGTGACGACAGTAAACGTGTTTTTACTTATGATACAAAAGAGAAAGAACATCAAAACACGCGGCAATCTGATTTATACTCGGCGGCTACGTCCTCTCGTACAAATCAGATAGCCTCGTAGTTCGATGCTCATTCTATTACTTATAAAAATATAGCTTTGGTTATTGAAATAGTCAATGATTTGTAGTATATATTCTATTTCGTTTTAAACGATAATTAAACGAAAATAGCATTTCTTTATTGAAGGACTTCCCTAGATATTTTCACTTGAAGAGCCTCATCATGTGCCTTAAATGAACCTTATTAAAAATAGATAAATAAAAAAAACTCAGATCACCTAGTCACAATGAAAATTGGGATCATGAATCAGTTTTTTCCAGTGCTTAAATACACTATTTAGACTGACTATAAATTATTGAAAAAGTTATTTTGAATCTTCAACTTACTGAACAGATAAAATAACCTCCGGGAAAAACAAACAGATACGTTCATATGAGGATATAAAGATATTCTGTGTTATATAATCATAAAAATCATCATCACCGGACATCTCTTAATGTTCTAATTAAGACTTGTTCTTCTATACTCCATGTCAATATTTTGAATCAAACAGTAAATGTAAAGGAAACGCGATTATTTATGAAATGGTTCATGTACATAATTTATCTGGTTTATACCTACATATATCAATGTGATTTATTACGTCAGTCCATACCATCTGAAATACAAAGGAAGGCTGGGAAGTCGCCATAAGACCTTCATCTTGTCATTGTATACCATTAAATCATTTTATACCATCATTTAATGCTATACCATCATATCAGTATATTATACTATCATATCATACTATACCATCATGTCATCCTATACCATCATGTCATCCTTTACCATCATGTCATACTAAACTATCATGTCATTCTATACCATTATGTCACTTTATACCATTATGTCATTCTATACCATCATGTCGTATTATACTATAATGTCACACTATAATATCATGTCATTCTATACTATCATGTCATTCTATACCATCATGTCATACTATAACATCATGTCATTCTATACCATAATGTTATTCTATACCATCATGTCATACTATAACATCATGTCATTCTATACCATCATGTCATATTTTACAATCATGTCATTATATATTTACAATCATGTCGGTATATACGATCATGTCATTCGATACCATTATGTCAGTATGTTCCATCATGCCATTCTATACCATAATGTCATTCTATATCATCATGTCATTCTATATCATCATGTTAGTCTATAGAATCATTTCATATTATATCATCATGTCATTATATACCATCATGTCATACTATACCATCATGTCTTTCTATATATTATGTCGGTATATACCATCATGTCATTCTGTAGCAACATGCCGGTCTGTATCATTATGTTATTCTATACCATCATGTTATACTATATTATCATCTCAGTCTATGCCAACATTTGTTTTTCGTTTGTGTTATATTTTGTTTTTCTTTCTGGCTGCTATAAAGCATTATAAGGCAGTAAATGTTTGACGTGTCGACAACGATATTCCCAAATGTACGATCTGTAAATTGTTTACCCATTGCTGTTACAGCCGCGTTATTGCAGTCGCCACAATACATCATATTGTTATGTTTTGAATGATTGAATGGTATCTATAGTGGTTGGTAGGCGATGTAGAATTGTGCGAGTTTCGTAAATTAATCAAACTTTTCTTAACGCTTTTATAAATAACCAGATAGCTCCTGAATTTGGTGGTGTGTTTTATCTAACTTCAAATGAGAATTAAATGTTTGCCACCGGGAAATGTAGAATGCTTGTAGACTAACAAACCAACACCAAATATATGGAACAGATATATGGAATGATAGGAGTAAAATAATGAAAACCAGGGGAAAAAACGACATACATTTTCTGTTCCGGTGGATTTTAAAATCTTGGTATATATTTTAAGGCATAGTGTTGACATCCTTTGCGCAGAAGTCTGGCCTCTAATGTATTTTAATGTCAAGGTCACACATGCACGTCAAATGGAATGTGCATTACTTCATATTAAGTTTATTAAGACAATTTGAAGTGAACGATAGCCAGTTTAGTAGCAAAAAAGTCAAGGTCATACTTAAATCCGTGGATGCATTTTGAAATAAGTTGGCACACTTGTAATATATGAAAGCATTTGTTTATATTATAAGATAACTTGATATAACGACTTTGTTGTATATCAAAAGTGATGCTCCTCAACTTGATCATTGATTTGTTTCTAACGACAATTTTCGTTTTTTATAACCCGATCAAATAACAGTGTACGGTATATGAAACACTTTCAGGCATATCTGTTTCTCAATGGTTTCATAAAGCAAAAAAAGCACGGAGTTAACGGCCCATATAGCCCCAAATATGATATTATGTTAATAACTAACTAAAAACCTTTTTATTTTGGTGTTCTGCTAATGGAACTCCACGGAGGTCCAAAGGTCTAGAAACATAAAATTTGAAAACCTTAAAAAATATCAAATGGAACACTTAAAATGGTAAACATTGCAAATGATAACATAGAAATATACTAAGAATTGAATTGAAAATAGATTTTCTGTGCCATTCTTAGCCAGATTTGAGGGAAAAGCGTTGCAACGCTTTTAATTTTCTGGTCATTTTGTGCCATAAAAATGATTATTCTGGAAAAACAGAATGAGGGAGTGAACTGAAAATTTGTACACAGTAATTAGCCCAGACCTTCATCAAATTGTACACAAATCTCGGGAAAATGTTCCGAGCCCCGATACGTCAAAACAACCTCAGTGGAGTCCCGTTATTATAAGTTATCATAGATAATCTTTGGCCATATAGCTTTTTATCTTTTGCTTCTTTTTTATCTTAGCAATTAGTACAGTTAACGTGATTTAGTATTTTGTATGTAAGTCAAAATACGACTTTGTTTATATTGTTTTAAATAAGACGCATGATTTACTGCGGAAGGACACGACTTATATAAAAGTACAAGTACATAAAAACAAGGCTTTATTGTTGATCCTTCTCTTATTAAAAATTTATATCCTATAATTATTTAATGCCCCAGGCATTATGATAAACCATTACGAGCGTGTCAGCAATGTTTATATATAAATAAGATATGTGACACAATTATTGGGTTAACTTTCCCGATGACATTGACTTTATTGTACCCGTTCTGTCACAGTATAAAACGAGAACTGGTATGGAAATGTGGAAACACTTCCCCTTTAATTTAAATTTTCACAACGGTAGTATTTTATTTGACTCTTCGCAAAGTATGCAGCAGTATACAGATGACCATTCGCGGCCATTTTATGCGTGTGAAAACCTCGCTTGTTATGTTCTTTTGCCATTTTCGGGGTTGTCGGGCATTAGTGTTTTAAGTGATATATTTTAGTGTACAAACATTTACCTGAATGTCAAACCATTAAGATAGTTCATAGTTACCATTAATTGTAACGTAATTTGTACGCCTTATAGTTCATCTGGCATTTCTTTTCATTTGTATTTTTTCTTGTCATTTCTTGAACACAATCTTCATTTTACGGTGCAAAAATTGTTGAATTTTTCTTTTTAATGGTTTATATATTTATTGTATTAACATATTCAAATGAAAACATTTAATGTTAAATATATTACAGCACACATTTCACGTCCATCAACTAATATGTCAATGTAATGACGTGAAGTTATATCAAATATTCAGCTCATAGTCTTGTTTTATTCCCAAATTAAACGCAAATACTGATTTTTTTGTTTTAAGCATTTTATGGCTTTGTCTGTATTTTAATGGTTGCGTCTAAAATTACAAAAGTACACTGCTAAAATGTATGTTTTGTCCTACATTAACATGTTAAAGTACATTGTGTTTTAGGTTCATTTTCAATTTGTGTTTGGAAAAGTGATAAAACAAATCATTATGGATATAAGGGATAACAAATACGTGAAGAAAATAATAAACAACCTAGTTTAATATTGCACATGTTATATACTACTTGTTGTTAGGATACTGGCCTGCTTGACTAGATATGTCCGGCATTCAGTCATATACTTCGTCGTTAAACTGTGCACCATTACAAAACAACAGATCATTCCATAAATTAGAGATTTATCAATTTCATTTAAAGAAAAAAAAACGCAGTTTTTGTGCCCCCACTTTAGTGGCGGGCATTTAGATTTACCCTTGTCCGTCCGTCCTTCCGTCCGTTCTCTTTTGTGTCGCACGTAACTCAAAAAGTATTTGACCTAAAGTCATGAAACTTTACAGGAATGTTGATCAGCATGTGTAGTTGTGCACCTGGGTATTTTCGTCTGGATTTATTTAGTATTTTTAGAGTTATTGCCCTTTACTTAGAAAATTTTTGCAATTTTCAACTTGTGTCGCATGTAACTCAAAAAGGATTTGACATAGAGTCATTAAGCCTTACGGGAAGGTTGCTCAGCATATGTAGTTGTGCACCTGGGGTTTCGCTTGTGGATTTATCCAGTATTTGTAGTGTTATTTCCCTTGACTTAGTAATGTTATTATTTTGTTAATTGTTCCTTGTGTGCTTGAAATAGAATCAACCAATTTTACAGGAATAATGATTAACATCACTAAATTACAGGAATAATGATTCACATCACTGTGAAGCTATGCACCTGGGACTTTGCATGTGGAATTTTTCAGTTTTGTTAGAGTCATTGTCCTTGACTTACAATAGTATAAATTTGCAATTTTCAACTTGTTCATGCATGGCTCAAAAAGTATTTAACTTGTAGGCCTGAAAGTTTACAAGAATGTTGGTTAGCATGTGTACTTATGCACCTTGGGGTTTGCTTGTGGATTTATTCAGTATTTGTAAAGTTCTTGCCCTTTACTTAGTAAAGATTTTTAGTTTTTAAAAAAAAATTGACCTAGAGTCATGAGATTGACAGAACAGTGGCGCGGTGGGGGCACCCGTGTCCTATGGACACATTTCTAGTTTAATTTATTTATTAAAAAAAGATTTATTTACAATATTATTGTATAGCAGACTTTATATTAAGACTTTAATAACTATACCGGATCATTTTTCCTTGCCTATAATTATATGTACGTTCCTTTGTGGTTATAAAAGTTTGGCATAAGTAAACAAATTAAAAGAAAAAAATATTAAGCCAAATTTCAGATATTATGGACTCTGATTTATTTTATTGTTGTCATGATTTTCTGTGATTCTCATTTTGTTGCTGTTGTTGTGTTTGCAGGAAGTTGTATGCGAGGAGCTGGAGGACAGGAATGTATCACCTCGGATATCCGTGTCTAGTTCTGTTCAGAGCTTTTGTTGGACATTTAAGGGACATCATGACTTTACCACTCCAGCCGTGTCCCCAACATGTTCCGTTCAAACTTTGAATAATGTCGGATATAAGTCTTTCCGCGAATTTTTATTGATGACACTGCCCCTGATAGTTCATCCAGTGATAACTCTAAGATTACTCGCTCACAAAATGTTTGGGAATATGATTCGGAGGAAAAACGTACGCTCCCAAGATGCGAAATTGAAACCACCGACGGAGGAGAATATTAACGCGGAGGTGAAATGCCCACCGCGGAGTAATTCAGAAAGTGCCAAGTGCTTTGAACAAAGATTGAATTCAAAGCAACAGAAGGTATCCACATCTTCTGGTGACCAGGGTAGGGACAGAAGTAAAACTATTGCTGTATATAATAAACACGGAGCAACATGTAGTGGTGATGCAAATGGGACCAATTTAGCTTTACGGGCTATAGGTGAAAGCTTAGTTACTCCGTTAGAAATGAATATACATCCGGGTCCAAGTCCAATTACAGAACATAGACAAGTTTGTGCTACTCAATCGGAATCGTTTAAAGATACCAAGCCGAGATTATTTCGATGGCAGAGCAAGAAACTTTTGTCAAAATCTCAAACCAGTATACGCTCACAAGACGACTCTTTGTTACTAAAAACAAAAGACCCGGATCTCGCGTCATCCCATGACGTAGATATCATAGCATTCCAAAGGGAGCTAATAAACTTGCCAACATTCGTTATGGACACGCCATTAGATATTTCGCCAGTCTTTTCTCGCTCAAGTTCAGTACCTGAAAACCTCGCTGGACGGTTAAATGCTACAACCGGTTCTCTATGCCAGTTGTCTGCTCATAGCTCGAGAAAAAGGCTTAGTAAGTCAGGTTGTGGGTCCGAGCAGGCAGTGTCTTCCCTCGTACATTCCGGATCTGCCGTGGCAATTACGATGACAGATGTAAATCACCACGATTCTGTGTTCTTTTTACCGTCGGAAGAATCAACTACAGACACTCCCGACGAGAGCGTTGCTAACATTATAGTTCATTTTGACCCTCCACAATCCCCCATGCTGTCTAGTGCTAGTGGAAGTCCTCATACCTTTGACTTCCCACCACCGTCTTTTGGAAACAATCTGTTACAACCGCTCAATAATACGACGAATTCTTCCAGTGCAAACAATGCTTTATCTACAAAAGCGCCAGCTAGCACCAGTGATGAAAGTCATGTTTTGGCTACATTAGCTGAAAAGAATTCGGACGTGTCGGATTCTAAAAACTCATTGATACGACCGGATATATTAAGGATAAGTCCAATAACTAGCCCAATAAATGAAATGCCTATTGCCCACCAAGGTGTTCTACGTGTGATCGAAACATGGATTACTGTGTGCAAATCTGACCTTGAAGGGACACAACTTGTGGTGCATGAAATGAGGGATTTTTTGAAAAAGTTATCTGTTCTTGGACCAGAGTATAAAGTCTGGTGTCAAAAGATTTTAGGCGCTCTTCATCTAGAGGTAAGCAAGATTTTTTACCCCTATAGTGAAACCTTTAAATAATGTTCCAATCTAGTGTTACCTTTACTGTTCTTATTTTTGACCGAATCACTTGAGCAAAAACTTCATTTATGGCTGCAGTTTTTTTTATATTTATAAATGCATATTTGAATGGGTTGGTGTTTACTAAACCCTTTACAAATTTAATATTTCATTACTCTACCTTAAACTTTCAGAATACACCTTTATCGGAGACTTAAACGTCTATACTTAAAATATTAATTCTACCTATAATAAGTGTCACTGTCAGTCTGTTTGTTTTCATGTTTTTGTTTAAATTATTGATCATTCCAATATACAATGTATCTATGATAACGAATTTGGCAAATGTTATTTTTGTATTAAGATAACAAGCAAATATTTAGACTGACATTAGAAAAATAATTTGTAAATAAAGTGTTTTAAACAGTGTTTATACGAAAATATTCGTTGGTACAAGCACACCCGTTAAGTAAATAAACTGAATGTGAAAACTGTTTTCACACTATTTGTAACAGAATTAATTGACTTTTCAGTGAATATATTTTGTCAGTTATTTGTTGAAATGGTGATGTTAATATTTGTAGGAGAAATTAGCAGCGGACGAAAATAGTGAATCACCGGACGATGGTCTTCATGCGCAATACAAACAGGTACGTAAACTTAAAATATAACGACTATATAAGTAAAATGAGCATTTTTGTATTAAATTCAATAACTAGAATTACACTGTCTTGTTAAAGCATATGTGCTGATATCACAGAGAAAAAAAACAAATATTGAAGAGAATTTAAGCATGTTTTACATACATGACCAAGGATGTACATTCTATACTGAATCAATTAACGGACCTCAATATTTTCTACTTTAAAGAAATGTATTCCGTTCGTTCAGAATTTCATTTATAAATGATCCATTTTCATATAACTACCAGGAGATGAGATTTATCATCATAAATATTGAAAGCATTGTATACTGTTTTAATATCGTTATGCAAACCAGAGTTTGCGCTCGGAATTTTCTGATTATATATTATACTTGTATTTACATATATAATGGTATTCATCTTCACTGTTTCTGTCATTACAACATATGCAAATATACCACGATATAAATGATAAACTGACAAATATCTTTAGACATAAGAGACATAACAGATGATGGTATTACGGACAGAATTATACTACAATCATTATAAAAATGTTTTGAAAAGAAAAATGAGGTTCTACAAAGGTGTAGGTAATCAACTGCCAGGGGCAAGCCGTTGTTTCCTTGAACAAGATACTTTACATATATTGCTTAGTACTAGTTCCAGGATCGGATTCGAGAGTGTTTTAATAAACTTATAGCTTCCAACTTTATCAAACTAAAATAATTATATTCGTATATCAACTAACTGCTATTTATAAATGTTCTTAATAATAATGGCGGCAAATAAAAGTTTTATTACTGAGTGCAACTCTTATAAATGCACTACATATTGTAAGTGTATCGCCTCTGTTTATTATATTAATATATACAATAAGTGCATATTGATTCATTCACTGTAATATATAGGTATAACAGATGCACTTATCTTCGTTCTGTAATAACCAGGTTAATAACTGGCTATTAAGTATCCATTAGTTATTCCCCCCTCTAATAATATATCAACACTATAATTATACTGTCAATGAATTTCTTCTTCTTCCTTCTCATGAAAGACAGTTTTGGTACAAGTCATATTAAATCCTCATTTTTCTATATTTAGCATTTCTGGAATAACCTATTTATATGAATTTAGAAGCGGGTATATATAAGAACCATATGGTACATGTAATTATCCCATGTTACAAGATGAAATTGATATTTGAAAATAATTTTTTATTTAAGGTTTAGTAAATATGATTAATGTTATTTTGTGTAAGCTTATAGAGAGCACGCAAAGAAAACTGCATTCGTGTTTTGTTAAGAACTGTAAGTCGTAAATATATCAAAATTATTAATATACTACATGTAGTTTGTATTTCGTAAATATCAAATGTTTCACTAAGAATGAACAAGGCAATAACAACGGTAACTTTATGGGACTGTATGATTTTCTCTGAAATCTTTTAATTAATTTGCATTATTTAAAGCAAACGTACATGTATTTACAGTCCTTAGTACGTACATCTCTGTTGGGTAAAACCATTCATTTTAATACAGTTATACAGTATTTCTACTCTCTTTCATCTCTTTGCCTTAAACTATTTCATCAATGAACTTACTAAACCTTGCAATAGTTGAGTTCAAATGTTATAGTATATGTGTGCGACAGGTGAACGTAACAGTGGTTACGTCATTATGTAGAAACGTTAACTCATTAATAACATTTAACTCGCTAATAACCGAGCAATTACTGATTTATTACATTGTAAGAACACTTGTGAAGAATTTGAAAATATACTGTTAAAGAGTCTATTTTTTGTTTATTTTCCCCAGAAAATCATTGATAAAACAATTAAACTAGTTATATTCCTCTGTAGAATTGCCAACTATGTGACCCGTATAGAAGATGAAGTATAAACATAACTATGTGATCGTTATGTATTCATCCATCACTACCATTGATGAAACTGTCATCACGGCACGTCTTTTATTCAATAACCTTGCCAGCATTTCTCTAGCTAGCTGCTTTTCATATCATCATATTTTTCTTCCCGTTGTTACAAACTAGACACAATCCAGACGTAATTTCTACCATAGGATAGCCATACGATTATTGCTCAAACTAACCATGTTTTGTAGTATATTTTTAATCTTTATAGTTCTAGTGTACATATACTTATAAATAATCTGTCCCATTTTTTTATATACAAAAGTTCTAATAAAAATAAAAGACGTTTATTTGAATATTACAAAGTTTCGTAAGTTTAGTAAATTGTTTACTTAAACAATGATTTAGAACAGTTTACTGTTTTATTATAAAATGGGGGTTAAAATTGAGTTAATGGGGAGGGGTGGGGGTAACGCAGATTTCCATCTTACAATCCTTCATTTAGCATGTATGTACAAGATGCCAAATAGATAAGATATGAAAATATAGGAATGGGTCATAAATAAGTGATAATTAATGATAAATCAAACCAGTAGTAGCATATTATGAGTACTCAATTGGCTATTTATCACTGTACTGTTAAATAAACAGTAGTGATAACTATCTAAGCTATAAAAACTTCCAGCAGATTGCCTACACTTCCCAGAAAAACAGCTGTCTCACACTTTTATATCCCCTCGTAATTACAAGTACATGAAGAATAATTGAGCCGCGTCACGACAAAACCAACATAATGGGTTTGCGACCAGCATGGATCCAGACCAGCCTGCGCATCCGCGCAATCTGATCAGGATCCATTCTGTTCGCTTACCAACTCTATTACAAGTAGAGAAACTGATAGCGAACAGCATGGATCCTGATCAGACTGCGCGGATGCGCAGGCTGGTCTGGATCCATGTTGGTCGCAAACCCATTATGTTGGTTTTGTCATGACGCGGCTCAATTTAAAAGCAACCACTTCTCAAACAATATTTAAGAGGTTATATTTGATGATTTATCTATCATCTTTCTGATATTAATATTGCATTTTTTTCTGTTGAATAGATATTATAACAATTTTAAAGCGTTTGTCTGTTTTATATTTTTTAATTTTATTCACAATGTACATTTCTGATATGTTTACATATATAAAATAGATGGTTTTGATATATATATATATATATAGAATTTTGATAATTAATATTTTATTTTAATATGATATTAACATTACATCTGTTGTTTACTATTCAACTTTATATCATAAAGTCTTTGTTTGAAATTCAAAATAATATGATATAGTTTGTTGTTTTACACAGAGAAGTATGATACGTAAATAAGAGAAATGTTTGTATATAACATGATTTCTTTATCTTATCATATAGTTGGCTAGCTATTTCACAGATAATCAAGTCACGGTTTGCTTATCAAACGATTGGTTACAAAAAAAGTAACTAATATAAGCTATTTCACCTATCTGAGCGTATACCATGCCATTATTTGTATGACCGACATTACTATATGTATAACAAATTCACTTCTTCTAAAGTGTTGCTTTAAATTATGTAATCCTATTTATTCATTTGATGAACAAAGTGCTTTGATATTAATAGTGAAAAAAACAACAACAAATTGTTGAAAAATTGAAGATTCGATATAACCGTGCTAGGATTAAGGATTTTTTTTATTAATTAGTTTAGCACACACACGTAGTAGAATCATTCTCTACAGCACGTGTTACATGTTTCTAGCTTGGAGTAATTCATCCTATTTGCTCGGGCAGAGTGGTTTTCTTGTACATATGGAGTAAATTAATTTACAAATTGTTGTTATTGAAAAATCAAAAGCAAACGGTATATTTAGATAAAATGCAGATAAAAAGAAAGTGTTCGAATTCTTAACTAATGAGTTACAAAATTTTGAAAAGGTAATATTTGGATTGACGTACTGCGATTCTATTATAGTACATACAAAATGTTATTCCAATGTTAATATCATATATATATTGAAGTGTGCGTTGTACATAATACTCCGAAATGTACGTTCTAGCAATATGTGATATATTTAGTGTATTCTATTTAATAACGAGTGACGAAAGATGACAGTACCTTCTGTAAAAAATATTATTTTGGTACAATATATCTACCTACCTACATGTCAGTGGTAATGAAAAATGTACGGATTTGATAGACAGTTCTAATTAAAGCAGTTCAAGAAATGGATGAATGAATTCTGGGTGATCACGTGACTAATTGTTTATCTGCAATAATGATGTTTCGATTAAATGTCCACCATCCTATCAATCTTAAGAAATTTGATATCTTTACACCAGAAGAGAATATTAAATATAAACAAAATAGTTCCAACTGTCATTCTGAGGATGCCATTCAGAAACGGACAACTTCAGAAAATCTCGGTCAACAAGAAAGTGTATCTATTAAGTCAGATTATATTTGCTATTGTGATAAAATAAATGAGTCTTATAATGGAGTACATATAAACAGGGGACACTGCAAGGATATATTAGTATCATATATATACAACAACGCATGTCGGACAAACAGTGAACCTGGTAACAAACAATGGACAAACTGTAAGTTGGTAGAGTTGAACACTGCTCAAAGACATCATATAAATAGGGAACCAGGCCACGTTGAAGGGCGGCGTGGATTGTTGTACAAACCGGGAACCTATTCACAGTCTCATATACACAAATATAGAGAACATATTTGTCGTCATGTACCAGGGAGCGATGAAGAAACAGACGACGAGGTATTTATAGAGGAGGATATATCTCAGTCTTCAACACACCAGAAATGTCCACACATATCTTGTCATGTAAGTTCAATATGTTTGCCTTGTTTGGTGTAGCCTGGATTCCAGTCTGTCGATTTTTTTAAGTGCTTCTGTTCTCCAAATCGACAATACAACGTGTACGTAATGAATAAGCAAAATAAATGTTACAAATAAGCAAAAAGTTCCAGGCTATGGTTGGTGCATAGAGATGCTTGATTTCTAAGTGACGTTGGGACAATTCTAGTAAGAGCAATCAGGTATATACATTTGTAATTAATAGTTGAATGATTGAAATTCAATTGT